CTATAATTTGGTGAAGGAATCAATTAAAAATAATAGAGGGTGTTCAAATAAACGAGAATCAAAATGGTATCGTTAATAAAAGTCTACCCTGTAATAAATATAATACTAATCATATAAAATGAACTTACCCTTTTTCTATAACAAAAGTTCTCTAAGAAAGTTAAACTAATACAGGTTCTCAAGGGCTCATGTCCTGATTGTCATGTGTATAAATTCAATAAATTAAATGTCACCGGTAACACTTTCATAATGATTTCTAAGTACTGTTATACAATAGTATATTAGGAGCTAAAATTGATAAAATTCCCATTTATGTCAACTTAATTATTTAATAAATCAGTGCACACAGTGTTATCGTTCATACCTATATTATCAGGTAAACTTTATATAAAGGCACATGTTTGTATCACATGAAAATTAGTTCATCCATATGCTTTTCATATACAGTACTACCACACGGACAGGTATTTTTATATAATAAGTTTGTTTGCATTAGTTTCATATAATCTAGTTTCAATGTTAAGGTATTTCATACAAATCAAACGAGTTATGTGATATAGCATCTATGTAAACAATTAGTTGATACGGCATATTTCATTGTGTAAATAGGATCTGTTACAGTTTGCTAACATATTATCCAGTGTTAGAAAATAATTTTGTCATTTAATTGTACATCATTATATAATCAATAGCTTCAATAATGGTATGTATTAAATATTGTTTTAAAAATGTGTTTAGTCTATTATATTAATATAATTACATATTATACCTGGATGCTATTTGTGAATAGATACGTGATAATGATGACGAGCAAGGTGATGTGCCTAAAAAGCAAAAATATCCGTATGGCGTCGGATTTATCATTGGAAATGAATTTTGTGAAAGATTCTCATATTTCGGAGCTAGAAGTTAGTAATTGTTATTAAATGTTACTTGTACAAATTATTATAATTACATTTACTAGCTATATCTCTTATATATGAGTTTTGAACAATTATAGTAACGTTAGCTATTTTTATTAATACTTTAAAATACAGTAATATTTGAACCTGATAAGTCATAGTACTACTCGTTTAGCTTAAACCTATGTATATTTTATGAATAATTGACTTTTGGATAAAATTAATAATTAGATATAATAAATATAAAAAAGCTAACGTTACTATAATTGTTCANGAACCTGATAAGTCATAGTACTACTCGTTTAGCTTAAACCTATGTATATTTTATGAATAATTGACTTTTGGATAAAATTAATAATTAGATATAATAAATATAAAAAAGCTAACGTTACTATAATTGTTCAGAACTCATATAATAGATATATCTATTATAGCTAGTTATCTTTTTGAAATACAATACTTATATAATAAAATTTAATTTATTATTCTTTTAGCAATTAATATATTTTTCTAATAAAACATTATAATTTTTTATCCAGCAATTTTGATCATATACTTTACAAAAATACTCAAATACCCTGATGACTCCGCGATTGACTATTACCATATATTCACCATGGCCTGCTATATGACCACGATCATCGGCGCAATTATTGCCGATACACTGTGGGGAAAATTCAAGTAAGTCAATTAATAAAATAAAAATAGTTATATACATAACAACTTTCATTATCAATATTGTATGCCTAATAAAATATTTCATATTCATTATTCAGGACAATACTTTATCTGTCAATCCTATACGCTATTGGCAATATTGTATTATCGTTGGGCGCCTACGTTGAAAAAGAGTACGTATCATGTCATTCAATGTATATAATGTACTCTGTTATAATGCACTATAGTGCATCATGTCACATTCGTGCCTAATTATATAAATTCAAAGTGTTGTTGCACGTTTGTCACAAAATTGATAACAATTACATTATCTATATTCCGCGTACAAAAGTTTATTTTAACTCTAAACCACAGTAATGTTATATAATGGTTAAAGTCTCGTTATAAGCGAGGTTCCTATGTACCTGTTGGATACAGATATAGATTTGTGTTTGCACAAATAATAATACCTATAGCATTAGTAATTGTTGTAGATCAAAAATTTTGTTAATGTATGTTATAGATCATCTTTGATCTACTACAATTACTGTACTAATGGTACCGTACTAATTACTACCTATAAAGGTAGTAGTAACTTAGCTCTGTAGCCCATGAATGTTAATCTATGTTATATACATAGTATATTGATATTATCAAAACAATTTAGAATATTAAACTCTAGTTTACAATAAGTTGAGATAACTGTTGATAAATAAAAACTATATAATAATTGACTTTTAACAGTAATAGAAACTATTTTTAAATGATATCAAAATTATAAATGACATTTAAAAAAACTACTACTAATTACTAGCATACTTACAATTACATTGTTTAAATAGCTATGTCTCATGGCTCGGATTAGTGTTTATCGCGTTTGGTACGGGTGGCATAAAACCATGGTAATTATCAATCTTAAAACGTGATATTTAATAAAATTATATAACATGTTATATATTTTATGAATATAGTGTTGCCGCATTTGGGGGCGACCAATTTGGCCCGGGTATGGAAAAGCAGCTAGAGAAATATTTCTCCCTATTTTACGCGGCTATAAACGCCGGCGGATTTTTGTCGACTATCGTGACCCCGATATTACGGGAAGACGTAAAGTGTTTCGATAGGGATTCATGTTTTCCGTTAGCGTTTGGAGTGCCGGCTATACTGATGGTGGTGGCGCTCGTGCTGTTTATCGCCGGCAGGTTTATCTGCAATTATAATATGATCCCTCCCAAGAAGGATAGTGTCATCGTGCAAGTATTTTCCTGTGTTTTTGTAAGTAGCTTGTTTAATTTTTAAAATAATTTGTTCTCGCTGCTGTATATTAAATTAAATTTTTTTTAAAAATTATTTAGACATCGTTGTATAGAAAATTGTTTACACGTCGACCAAAAAGGGACCACTGGATAGATTACGCTGATGATAAATTTGATGTATGTTTATTGTGTTTTAAATTACGCTTGATGTAAATATAATATTGTATTGTTTATAATTATTGTTATCAGGCACAAACAATAACTGATATTAAAGGGCTGATGAGAGTGTGCTTTCTATTTATACCTTTACCTATATTTTGGGCACTGTATAATCAACAGGTATATTTTTCTAATTTGACTAGTTTACATTAAAAATATAATATGATGTATTTAAAAATATTCATCAGGGTTCAGTATGGACACTACAAGCTATTAAAATGAACGGCAACCTATTTGGTTCATACACAATCAAGCCTGATCAAATACAAGTGATAAATCCCGTGTTAATCATTGTATTTATCCCTATATTTGAATACGTCATCTACCCATTATGCGCAAAAATGAACTTGCTCAAAAAACCACTTCAACGCATGGTGTGCGGGGGTGTTTTAGCGGCAATATCTTACGTGATATGCGGATTCATACAGATATGGGTGGAAACTAAGCCAGATGGTACCGTGAATATATTGTGGCAACTGATCCCCTATATTGTGATAACCGCGGCCGAAATTATGTTCTCGATCACCGGTTTAGAGTTTTCGTATCAACAGGTACATTTTGGTTTAAGTTTTATTTTTTTAGGTTTTAAAATATTTTAAATTTAATCTAGGCACCGAAAAGTATGAAATCAGTAATACAGGCTGTTTATACGACCACGGTAGCATTTGGGGATATTATTGTCATTATCATATCGTCCGCGAAGTTATTCGAAAAGGAGGTTAGTAATTATGACTGTTACTAGTAACTAGGTTAAATTGGCTAGTAGTAAAATTGATGTAGTAAATGTAACCTAGCAAATAGTTATTAAATTATGAATTATTATTTTAATTGAATATAGCTAACAGTTAGTTAAGAATGCAAGTGATTTTTAGCATTCATAATATGCCACATTTTGAAAAAATAATTATACCAGTATGGTCATATTTTAATATAACATTATTTGTCCATAAAATAGTCAAACACGTTTTTCTTTTTTGGCGGTTTAATGGTTGCCGATATGATTGCCTTTGCGATTATGGCCTATTATTACGTGCCATACAAACAACCTAGTCCAATTAATAATAGCGATAGTGATGTTGATGATAGTGACAACTCGAAGGATTTCAAAAAGAATTAGCAATAATTTTATTTTATTATGTTTAACTTTACCTTAAATTTTATTTATTCATTAAATTTATTCATAAAAATCAGCGATGATATTATATACTGTCATATTAGGTATATGAAAATAATATGTTTATTCATTTTATTAAACTGTATTTTAAAGAATTTGTAAATAAATAACTAAATAATAATACTGTATATTTGATGAATGAATATTTAACTATTTATTATCAAGGCAAATGTGAATTATTTTTTTTAAAAAAATCTAATGTGTTTGTTTTAGAATATTTTACTTAAATTAAAAATTATTAATATAAATACTTTTTATAATTTTATCGATTTTATTTATTACTATTTTAAGATAATAAAGGTTTTGAAAGTATGATATAATTACGATAAACTCGTAATACCATTAGGAAAATAATTTTGTAATATTTGAGTAAAATTATTAAAATATATAGACTTTTAGTCAACAATATTTATTTAGCTTAATATATTAAAATTTAATAATACTGTTCAATTAGATGATACACTCACGGTACATTTAATAATTGGCATAAAAATAATTAACCATCTGTTTTAAATAAAGCATTTTGTGCTAAATTATTTATATTAATTATACGCACGTACAAATCCTAAACCGATCCCGCACACATTTTTACCTTTAGCCAGCCGTACGTAACCCTTTTTACCCCAACCCTCACCGTAACTGTCAATTAAATTGAAATTAAATTTAAAGTAACCAAGTCTACATTAGAAAAGCATACTTATTTCTAGCCAACCAATAGTCGGCGCCATTGTCGACACCCTCTCCCACCAGAAGTAAACTGTGATCAAAAGGGCCGGTAGTATTGCACTCAGAGCTGTCTAATATACCCGCGGCGTACGTCTGGAATACATGGGAACTGGACTTTACGTACACAAACGAAGGGCCCCACAACACGAAATCGCTTATTTAAGGGCACCCTTTCGTTGGCCAATAATTTCGTGAATATCTATAAACTCATGGAAAGAACCCAACAAAAGGAGGCGCTGTTCACCGAAAAAGACTTACAAGTCTACAGAACTGTGAGAAACAAAATCCGCAAAATGATTGCAAACCATTTTGGCGTCCCTTCGGATCAGCTCTACTCACCTAATGTACTCTTCAGTAGATTAACGCCAAAGAGGGCCCAAATCATGTCCGACATGTATTGGCTCCGACACGTCGACAAACGAAACTATAAGTGCTATCCATTCACTTCTGTGCTATATTTGTCGACATATGGCGCGGACTTCACGGGCGGACGCTTTATATTCACGGACCAGATGTCGAACACAACAATTGAGCCTAAATTGGGACGACTCTCGTGGTATACGTCGGGCTCAGAGAACGAGCACTTCGTCGAGAGGGTCACCTCCGGGACCCGATATGCTATGCTTATGGGCTTCACGTGTGACCCTAAGTGCGCCGCCAAAGACCTACAGATTGTTAGACCGCCGACATGCGCCCAACCATTTTGTTTTCTGTATGGAGTAGGCTGTCCAAACTTGAATTTACTCCCACCCCAACAAATATTCCCTAATTTAAACTAAGTTTACACTGTATATTTATTAAGTTAAAATCAAAATAAATCAAATTTATTTTATTTAAATAATATACATACTATTAAGAAATTAAATTCTAATTAACCAAGATTAAACAAGATAATATAGATTTTAGTTATAAATAATTATAATTGTGTAGCTTTAACTTAAAAACTTTTCACAATGAATTAAATTGTAATATAATACGAATAATTAGATATTAATATAATTAAAATGAGAAATGTAATCCTAAAAATTACTTGATCAATTTTATGAGGGTTTACACATAAATTCCTTAATAACAATATTATGAATCATAAAAATCTATCAAAATTATAACAAATACTAATCAAATATATTAACTTAAACAAATTGAGCAAGGTTCACTCGGCGTATAGCCGATCGATATCTGCACGATAAAAGTCTTCAATCATTTTACGGCGGAGTTTGAGGGCCGCGGTCACCAGACCCGAGTCCGGTAGCCATTCCTCGCGACACAACACCACTTTCGTCGGCACCTCCACTCTCATAAGCGCCGACTCGCGACCGAACTCCTGGATAGCAGCACCGACTGCGGCGACAACTTCCCGGTCGTCGCACAGCTCCGGTAGCTGTAGTTGAGATGATTTGCCGAGTTTTTCGGCCACTGTTTGTAGTTGTTTGAGGTTGGGCACGATTAACGCGATTAGATACGTGTGGTAGGAGTTCCCGTAGCAACAAATGTTGTCCACCAATAGACACGACTTGAGCGCCGCCTCGACCTGTGTTTGAAAAATACAAATACATTAATAAATTTTAATTTTAATTTTTATGTGTTAATACAATTTAATATTATATAATCTGTTATTAAGTTTTATTTTTAACATTACTTTTATAGTGTTTTTTAATGTGTTTTTAATTTAATAAAATAAAATTTAATTAAAAACACATTTTTAACAAACACTATAAAAGTAATGTTATATTATTTTAATGTTTATGTTAATGTTATAATTAAATTACAAATATTAAATTACTAATTTATTATAAAATATCAAAATATTAAATTAAACTTTTGACAACACCAACAACAAACATACCTTTCCCAGAGACACGTATTCACCGAACTGTAGTTTAACCAGATCCTTTTTCCTATCAATGATACGCACAGAGCCGTCCTCTAAAATCTCCCCGATATCTCCCGTACGGAACCATTTGACCTCATTTTCGACGCCAAAAACGTCTCGTCCGAGTTCCGCATTCCTATAATACCCGTCCGTAATGGCCGGCCCTCCCAACACAATCTCCCCGCGAGGGTTAGGCTTATCCACCGCCCAATAGTTGCCTTCCGGCCAATCAATGAGCTTAAGCTGAACGCCCTCTAGTGGTGGGCCCGCACTGCCCACTGATAGGTCGTCCCAATCCATGAGTGTAGCCGAGGCTGTAGTTTCCGTCAGTCCGTAGCCTTTGTGTTAAAATTATTGCATATTTAATAAGCAATGAGAAATAAATTATGTAAAAAAATATTGAAACATTCATTTGAACTCTGTTTTCATATGAAATAAAAATCTTAAAAAAGTTATTTGAATGCTAAGTT